TCCCCCTTCATCCTCCCACACTCCAGCAGGGCACTAACCTGTGAAGGAAAAGTCCATTTCTGTAATGGCAGTAGCAGGTGAAATGACCCAGCTTTGCTTTGAGCTACATGAAGGGCTGTCTCTAATGGGAAACTTTTGTCCGCAGTCCAAAACTCCCTCCCCAATGAGTTGCTTAAATTGACAGCGTCCTATCAAAACCTTCATTATTACTTCTCTCCCTCCAGTCAGGAAATCTTTACCGAGTGTAGTCCTGTGATGTGCGTGCAAAGTACTGAGCTATTTCTGATAGATAAGCTTTTAAGAAAAATATGTAACCTTAGCCACCATGCTTTTGCTGTTCAAACTTCGTTGTAAGAAGGTTCCTGTGTAGATGTGGCAAAACTGAGGCATTGAGGTGAGCAGCATCGGTTCACAAGGAGTTAGTGTAAAACCTCACTCGTTGGGCAGCGCTTTATCCCTCATGTGAGCCTCGTTCAGTGGCTGTTCATGTAGACTTTGTGGAAGACCCTTAGAAAATAAATGTGTGCGTTTCCTTGTTCTTTGCTGACCCGGAGGTAATAGATGTCTGTGCAATATCCTATGTCAAAGCCTCCTCAGGAGGTACCAGTGATTGATGTGGTGATAGCAGTGTCTGAAGGGAGCGCGGATCATGATCTGCTTGCATGGTGTCTTAGAATCTATTTCTCCCAGGGCAGACTCTGTAAATAATTTTTTCATCATGTCTTGCTTTTTTTTTTTTTGTTGTGTTTTCTTTCCCAGTTCTCATGTCTGTAAGAGCATTTATCATTGAGTAGCAGGAGCAATGGATTCTTCTGCTGTCTTGCTCATTCACTTGCTGCTTTGGGTTGACCTTAAAGCAGTGGGTTGAACTTCACTCAGGAGCAGACAGTATGTTGTGTGCTTAAATGTTGACACTAATCTTGGCTACCTGTAGAATAATGTGGCCTTACAGGTATTATCCCTTCTTGTATCTCCTATAAATGACAGTCATTCTGTGCAGTGGTGTTACTTGTGGTCTGGGTTATGAAGGCTCTCATGTCTGTGCTCTGCTTCTCCTTTTTCCACAGTAGCACCTGAAGTGACTCTTCATGTCTGCTTCCCTTGATCCTTCAGTGCTGGAATTACTTTAAGAGTTAAGATAAACCAAGGAGTGTAAAGAAGGCTATTTTTGCAGCTTGCGTGTGTATTAAAAAAAAATCCCAGTGATACACTTTATGAATACTAGTTCCCCTCTATGTAGCTGTGAAATGAAAGAAGCAATGCAAGTGAAGGGTGTTTCCTGCTACACCACAAGTTCCTCCCTTCAGCACCTGAAGGCAGTTATTTCCATGATTAGTAATAAAAATAATTACTCTGTATTGGCATTTTTGTGTTATAGTGGAGGTAGAGACAAATACACTGAAAAGTCAATTCTTGAGAATATTTTGGAGGCTTATTTACTCTTGGGGTTTTTCCTGTTATGACCCAATGGTTAAATTGTTGTCTCTCAAGAGGATTAAATGGTACTTTAAGCTGCTTTTTAGATACAGGTGTTTCCAGACAGACAGAAGGAATGAGAAGATTTACCTAAACATGCTGAACTGCAGGAACTACAGTGAAAGCAACTTGATTATGCTGGCTTTACAAACCAAAACCAAACAACCAAAAAAAAAACCCCTCCCAAAATAATTCCTTGCTTCCACTGAAAGCCTCCCAGATACCATGATACTTCAAGTAGAGTTTTCCTTCCTCTTTTTTAATGGTATCCTCAATTAGGGGATTTGCTTGAATCCTTAAATAATATCTCTGCATTTCGCAGTAGGGAGACACAAACCAGTTTGTCACTTATTCTAGAAATTAAGGAATTGTGTCACTGCTTTTCAGGCTGTTAAACTTTCTTTCGCCCACTTACTTTTTAGCACGCAGGGTTTGAAGTGCTGCTGTTATTTGAGGTAATATATGAATCTGTGCTGACAGAAGAGTCAGAAACGGGCTTTGCAGTGTAGGTGCTTTGTTACTAATTTTAGATTATATTCCACCTAAGAGATTGCCGTCACAACCAGTAATGCTATTGCTGGACAGCACGTTGATGTGAAGTTGAAGCTGAAGTGAAAGAGAGAGCAAAAGTCATGTTCATAGGTTTGCTAGAAGGAGGTTTTCACGTGTCAGGCAAGAGCATGGACAGAAAATAGGAACGTCAGAATTGTTTCCCTTAGAAATTGGGAGCTGCCTTACTGGACCAGGCTGCCAGGCTTCTGAGTCTGATAGAGCAGCCACAAGCAGCTTACGGGCATTAGGAGGACTTGGTGGAATCTGCTCACAATTCATATTTGTCATAGGCTGCAATATAAATACTTGTATTTCTTCATAGTCTGAAGTAATAGTCTCATCTGCCAACACTGGCACTTTGCTGTGCGGCTGCTTTGCTGTACACAGTGATGGGGAAAGTTTTATTGTAATGTCTGAAGTTCAGCTTGCTGGCACTGGAGGTAAAAGTACAGCCAAAGGTGCCCCTTGGACCCCAAAAGGCTGTTTGGGAATTTGGGTTTTATGCTTAGATGATTCTAAGTTACTCAGCTTTTGAAACTAAAAATACTTCACAGTACAGCTGAGCTTTCATATCCTGGTGGCTGATGGAGTGCATTGCTCTCAGGTGGTTAGTTTTAAAATTACAATACAGCCAATCTAATTCTTTAATCATGAAAACATTTTTGCAAAAACTGCCTTGTTTTGTCATCTAGCCAAAGCCTCTGTCTGCTTTTGCCAAAGTGTGGCTAACATGAGGGTTTTGTAAGACCAGCCAAAGCTGCCTGACTTGTTTGAGAAAGTGGTTCTTTGTGAATAACTGCTCTTCATGAATACCTGCACTTGGTTTTCTTTCATCCGTGGACCACCCCTTGAATCCTGATGGAGTTTTATCAGTAAGCCTTGAGTTGCACAGTAGTTTTATCAAAGAAATTATGAAAATATAAATATTTGATACCTTTCTCTTTTTTTCATGAGTGTTTCTAAGTATATCCACGGTACATATAATTTTTTTTCTTACAGGACTAGAAGGTACAATTTTAGAGAGGTGAAGTAGCTCTGTTTTAAGGTGGCAATTATTAAGTGGTAAGTTGTGTCCAAAGCTTTGTTTTAAGCAAAAAAAATAAAAAATCAAAACTAATAAACTGAAATTATTTGAAGTAGGAAAATTATTTTAAGTATCCTTGTGGAGTATTTTAAATATCCTTGTGGAGTATTTGCAGCAGGAACATGGTGTAGAAGAGCCTGAAAATAGAACTGAGGTGGACAGGGCAGACTGGCTTCATTTATTTCTTCATGTTAAGAAGTAAATTGTATAAAAGAAATCCAGTGGAAGCTGAACAGTTACTTACTACTTTTTAACAGAACTCTGCTGTGATGCTGTGATTCAGCTTGCCAGTGCTGAATTCAGTTGAAGACCTGTGTTGTGAAACGGGAACTGCTGGGTCACGCCTAACGCTGTTTGCTTTTCTAATTGGTCCAAACCAAAAAAGAATTAGACTGTCTGAGGATTAGGTATGTTGGACACCACCTTACACAAGGCTTATAGTACTATGTTGATTCTAAGGAGTTTATCTTGATCACTTGCTGCTTGCTTAGACTTTTTCAAAAGGTTAGCAGGAGGGACCAGCTGTTCTCCTGTAGGTGTTTGTATATGGCGATTTCCACTGGTTTAAGAGCAGTGAAACTACAGGTTGTCATTGATGACAGGATGTATGAGTGTCACAGGAGTTAAAATGCTGTCAGCACAGTTTATAAGCCCCATTCTCTCTCAGGGAGGAGGAACAATAGTAGCTGTTGTCGTTCATGAAATAACTCTCCTTTGCATCACTAATAACACACTGCATGGCTCTTTGTTTGCTTTAGTCTGAGGTGGGGAGAGAGTTGCTGAGTCAAAATGTTATGCACTGAGCAGGAGGCTTTCACTAAAAGCAAATTCTTCCTCTTGCCTGTCAGAAATGACAGCTCTTAACCCCTTTTGCCAGTGTTAGGATGTTATTATGTAATGGGTGCTTCTCTTCAAAAATTTGTATGCACTGGTATGCTGAACTCTGTCAAATGATCAGGTTTTGTATTGCACAACCTTAAGCAATAGATACACATCTTTGTATTTCTCCAGGGAAGAGGAGGTACAGAGAATAAGGTCCAATGCATTAATCATTCATGTGTTCCTATAAATACACTGTTCTGGTGAACAGTCAGCCTTGTCCAAATTTAGCTGGGGGGACTAGGCATTCATTTCAGGTAGATGTGCTGTATCTGCTCTCCATAGGCATACTGGAGCCACATAGGAATCAAGGTAAACTAATTTAGTGTTGCCTGATACCACAGTTCAGGTGGGTGGTGACACTGTGTCCTGTGCCCTGGTTAAACAGTGACCTCTGGAATAAGGAGGGTGTCTGTGACCTGGGACCTCTTGTCCCTGAGCAGTGGCTTGGGGAAATGGAGGTGATGGAGCTGGCTCTGAAGTGACAGAGCAGCACAGCGCTGTCACCTGGTTTTGAGTCATTGAAAGCCTGCTTGTCTGCCTGCTGAGGGGCAATACTCCTTCAGCAGCCTCACCTGAGCTGTACCAATTTTCAGATGAGGTTTTGAAGCACTAAAACTCTGACATGAATCTTACAGATGTTTGTGGTATTCACCCTCATTGTTCTTCTGTGTGCATGTGCCCTCCTAAAAAAGCTTAATCCTTGACCACTGAAGTGCTTGGAGCCAGGTCTTTTCCCCCCCCGTCATTGTTTCCCTAAAAGAATACATCCATCTGAACATTGTTTTGTGTGTGGGAAATCTTAGCTCAAAGGTACCCTTTGGGAAGGTAGCACGGCGACTAAAACACAAACTGTGACTTCCACACCTACTATGAAAACAAAGGTGGTACTTTAATTCCTGTAGTGGCATCCAGGCATGCGAAAGGAATACAAATGTGGCTTTGTATTCCTCGCGCTCCCATTCTGTGCATCTTTTGTAGTATGAAGGATGAGAAACCTGCATGGTGCCTTATGCTTGGTCCCAAATGGACTAGCACAGCCCGTTGAGAAGGTGCTATGCATGAAGAGAGCCTAATATCTGTCCCTGCATCAGCATCCTGGGAATCGCTTGCCCTCCGCTCGGAGCAGCTGATCACATGAGCCTGATTTTTCAGTTCAGTTCATTAGTCAGCCATTTTGGTCACCACCCTGCTCACTGCGCACAGCCAATCCTGTCAGCACTCCGGCTTTGCTGGGAGAAAGAGACCAGCAGTGTGATTCTGGCAAACCTGGATATCCATCTCTGCATTCTTCCTTTGTTTTTGCTTGGGTAATCAGCAGAAGAAACCATTCTTTTTCTTTGTTCTGCTTTTTTTTTTTTTTTAATAGATTTTTTTTTGCCTTGTTTTTTCTCACCCCCTGGCTTTGATGCAGCAGCCAGGTCTCCTGTGGTTGCTTAGGATCAATAGCCTCTAGCAGAGCTGAAGACGACAACAGTTGGTGGCAAGAAGGGAGGAAGAGAGGAGCCTGAAGGAGCAGCGTTTTTACCTTGCTTTATATATGAAAAGGCCAGAGCAGCCTGTGCGACCCTGAGCACATCTGTCCTTTAACAGCAAGGTATTTCTCATTTTCTTCTTCGGAAAGCTTTTCAGTCCTGATTTTTCCCCCTGTTCCTGTTGTTGTACCAGCTGAGTCATCATGTCTGCTCTGACGCCTCAAAGCGACATGCCAACCCCCACCACAGACAAGATCACTCAGGCTGCCATGGAGACCATCTATCTTTGCAAATTCCGAGTGTCGATGGATGGAGAGTGGCTCTGCTTGCGCGAGCTGGACGACATCTCGCTGACACCTGACCCAGAGCCTACCCATGAAGGTACGGTCCGGTTCCCTGCCTCGGGATCCCTGCACCCATCGCATTCTTACAGACGAGGTAGGAGGGGTGTCTCCAGGATGAGATGCTCTCGTCCTGCGTGGAGGACCTTGGACACCGTTTGACATGTTAGAAAGCCACATTGGTGCTTTAGACTGCCCTTAGAATTTGCTGTGTCTTTCACAGTCCCCCCCAGAGAGAGATTCATGCTTAACTGTTAGTATTTTTTAACATGTATCTGGAAAGATCAGCTTTGTAGGTCTCAGGAAGGAAGATAACTATGATGTGTGCTTAGTGATACATTTAATCACAATTTTACTCTTAAAACAGGGCTTATAGCTTTGTTAGCTGCCAGATTATACAAATGGAGCACATTGGCAAAACACAGCCCTGTGTCTGTGTACGGTCGGTGGGTAGTTTTTGGAAAGCCCCAAGTGATTACGCAGTTCACCCCGTTGTCAGGTGATGATACCATCACACATCTGCTCGCTCACTTCTGTTGAGTGTGCTGCTGTTTATACTGGCTTGGAAGCCTGAAAAGTGTTATGTATCTTGCTTTCTTCTTGCAAAGGGCTTTGTTATCTGGGTTATGGGTAAGAGCACTTTAATACACCAGGTCATGTAAAATGAGGTTTGAAAGCTTTGTGATACTAAAAACACAAGAGGTCATACATGCATTGCTCTGCCGATAAAAAAGTGGGGAAGAAGGAGGTCTGGTGTATTTCTTCTGGAATTTTGGCCAGTAACCAGTGCTGTCACCAACACTGTCAGGTTCTAAGTACCCCTTTGCTGGATGCTGAGTGTCTTTGGGTCTTACAGAAAGAGGGCTCCATCTTTTTATGCCTGACCCTTTTCATGTAACTACTGAAGTGTCACTCCACCAAGTAATCTTGCTTGACCCGTTTGATGCTGGCTTGTCAAGTCAGTAATGTCTTATATTTTTGTCTTGCTGGATGAGGCAACTTAAATTGTGGTAAGGATTTGAGCTTTAAAATTAGTTCCCAGGGGATAATTTAATTCCTGTTTGACAGCTGCTTTCAGTGGTGGCAGCCCTTGGCTTTGGCTTTGCTTGCCAGATTCATAGTCACACAGTGGGATACTAGACAGGTTTCAAAAGCAGAGCCTAGTGCTCCCTTGGAAGCATGTCCTGAGATTTCAGCGGGGTGCTATAAGCACAGGAAATGCAGAACCAGAGTAGTGAGCACAGGGTGAGCCAAGGATGCAGTAATTCAACCGTCTTATTCTTGTATGGGGTGCAGACCATTTCAGACCTTACTTGGTCTCACTCATCTGTTTTTGGACTCAAGTGTTTTGGGTTTTTGAACAGTACATTCTAGTATAGGTGGAATGATTTTTATATGTTCTCTCTACCTCTTTCATAAACAGTACTCTCTTGGCTCATCACACTGTAGTCAGTAAATGGCCTTCCAAGCAGCCTAGGGCTCTTCTCTTAGTATAGCCTGGAAAACCTTGCAGTCACACTGTGAGTCAGACCTGAAATCCTTATTTTTTGTGTGCATCTCTTTCCTCTGTTTGCCTTCTTGCTCTGAGCAAATTCATGGGGAAAGTGGCCTTGGCTGAATCCAGTGTCTGTAATGGAGCTTTTCTGGGGTTGCCTTACTGAAATATGCTGAATATTCAGTGTACTGAATATATCTGTACACTTCAGTGTACAGATTTCCCCCTGAGTTGCCCAGGTAAGCAATTCTAACGCTAATACTAGACTAACCATTCGCCAACTAGAAAAATAATTGGTTTTAAAGCTTTAAGTACAGTCACTCTCTTGCAAGTACCATAAAGGGTTAGAAATCAGCAAAGGGTTAATATTTGCTTATTTCATTGCCATTGTATTTAATTCTATATCAAAAAATGAATAAAGAGAGCTGTGTCATAACGACCTTTACAGAGATGCTTATACATTCATAAATTAAGGTTGCTTGTTGAAAGGGTGTGAGGCTGGTTATTTTGGGGAAGTGAGGGGTGGTTGAACCTAAGTCATTTTTTTAACAGAGATAGAAGATCAGGAGGAAGTGTGCATAGTAGAAAAGCTGACACAGCTTTATTCCTAGTGTTTGAACTGGTGCTACTGCATCAGCACTGCTGTTGTGTCCTCACTGTATGTGTGGGACAGGCATCCAGTGCTTGTCTGAGAGGAAAAGCAGGACAAGTAAGAACTGGGGCTGGTGTGTCTTGTAATATCTCCATAAAACTGATGTAAAAAAGGTGTGGGATTATGAAGAAGAAGGGGAAAAAAAGTTCTAGACTTCTGTCAAAAGCATAACAAAAGGTTGCATTTTTTTCCCCTTACAAGTCAAGACATGTAAAAATAGTATATTGCAGCAGCAAATCCAACAGTTTGTTGTCACCAGCGTTTGAAGTTTCCAGTTGCTGTCCTTCAGCTCTTGCTGCTTCCTGACAGTTTTTTGCTGCTGGCCTCTCTTCGCTCTGTCAGCTGTTATGCCCCAGCCCACAAGCAGCTGTCCTGCCTTACACCACCCTGTGCACCCATTGTGTGGGCCTTGTTTTGCATGGTAAGTGTCTGCACCCATCCTTGCATCCCAGAACTGCCTGCCCATAGTGTCATAATGAGAAGAGGAAGAGCACGGATGTGGGCAGTGGGGAAGTAAGAAGAGAAGACAAAGGGTCAGGAACACAATGGCAGGCAGGATGGGGAAGGTTAAAAATGCAATGGGAAAATAAGATGGTAGTCTTGAAGAGTTCGATGGCTGTATACTTCTGCTGGGCTGCTCTTCTGTAGAATCCTGTGAATGACTCGGTTGTTATATGGAGGGTGAGTGGTGCCAAGTGTGTCCTCTTGTGGGTCCCTGGCTTTTTCAGCCGAGTTATCTTCCAGGCCTTACACCTTCAAGCTTTTCTTCATACCATTGTCTGTGGTGTGAGTTTCCACTTTGCTGTTTTTAAAGATGTTTTTTTTCCTTGAACCTATATCAAAAGTAAGGCAAAAAAGTAAAATATCTGAGAAAACAGAGTTGCGATAAGCAAGAAGCTTCAGTACTTTCTTCTTTCTCTTTCCAATGGAAATAGTTTGTTAATAGTGGTTAGGTTTATTATATTTCATTTTTGATTCTTTATTTAAAACAGATCACTTGGAAAAGACAGTTTAAACATCCAGGAAGAGGCTAAAGAAGCAATTCTGATCTGCTCTGGTTTGATATCCCTATCCAGACATATTGTATTTTAATTCCAGTGAGAGAGAGGCATTAGAATAGTTTTAATCTTCGAATTGGGGTGCAGGGGAGCTAGAGGCTGGGACAGGAAGAGAGTTGGTAATGTTAAGTGCATAGCGGTAAGCACAGTCTTACTCACTGGTGTTTAAAAACAATAGGCATCCTCTCCTGTGGTCGTGATGTTTTCTAGTAAGCCCAAGCCCAATTCCACTACTTTTTAAGCCAAAGGCAGTATACTTTGGGAGATAGATTCAGAGCTGAGTTGGAACAGTGTAAATCTGGAGTAATTCCATTCCTGACACACAGTTGGTTGTTTCTGAGTGTAACTCTGAGCAAACAAGTTTTAGTCAAGTTAGGAGAAGCATGTACCATTACTAAAGTTGCTGAGTTTCTGGTTATGTGTATGTACTCAATATAGCATCCAACATGGATGCTCAATTTAACAATAAAAGCTTGTTATTGTTGCACAGTTTTCCAGCTGTTTGGAACAATTCTCTGTGTGTGAAAAGATGATGATTTTGCTATATACTGTAAAACTGCTTGGTTTAGAGAAATTATTTCATTTTTTTAAGCAGTGGTTCTACATTAGGTAATTATAACTTCACTGTGCTCTGCAGGCACAACAAAATGAAATGTTGACAGGAGTGGCTATTGAGCTCTTGATTGCATGTAAGATGTAGTGATCATTGAGGCATCTTTAGGGACCAAGTGTGAAAAACATCTTGATTGTTTTTCTGTTGCACGTTCAAGAGTGCATTTGTGTATGGGGTTGCACCCTAATCTTAACTTTGGGAGAAGCTATGAAATGCAGGAAAGGCTTTACACAGTCTTACTGCATGATAAATTTCTGTTGCACGTTCAAGAGTGCATTTGTGTATGGGGTTGCACCCTAATCTCAACTTTGGGAGAAGCTATGAAATGCAAGAAAGGCTTTACACAGTCTTACTGCATGTTAAATTTCTGCTTGGAATAATCAGGAGGAGCTTCACATCAGAGCAATGGAAGTTTTAATCCTCACGGGATCGGCTTGTAATTGAGAACAGAAAGAATACACATGATAACACTATGATGTGAGTTGCAGCTGCCAGGAATTACAAAATTCCCATTTTGTATTTTTTTTTTAAATCCTGTTCTATTTGCACTAAAAAGGAAAACTTCTCTTTTCTATGTTACAGTTTTTGGTACCTAAGGTCAGTTTGGTGTTTTTCTGCTTTTTTGACCATGACTTCAAAAGTTTCAGTTCAGACACGTACTTGTGTAAAATGCCCCGAGTAGAAGTTGCACAGCTCTTCCAAAAACCAAATTCTCTTTTCAGTACTCAAATACCTCTCACCCATTAAACCGTTGCATTGCTTACTAAATCATCCTTTGGATTCTACCTTTTCTGTCTTTGTGCTTTTCCCATCACTAAAGTACTTTTAAAATACATATGGTTGCAGAAACCCCTGAAAGGGTCAAAAGGAGCTGGGGGCTAAGTTTTAATAGAACAAATACAAAGTCAATAATATGCAGGATAAATGAAGTACAGTGTGTTAATGGTCATAAATCTTTTGAATAGCAGTTAGGTCCTGTAACTCTGACAGCACATACTGAAAAGTAATATGACAAATATGATCATCTCCCCAGGGATGGAGATGTCCTCCTTACTGTATTTGCACTGAATCCCATCATGATCTGGGCAGAAAAGGAGGCGTCCAAGAGAAGGTGGACACTTGACCCTGAACCAAGGGAGACAGAAGGTTCAGTTTCTGAAAGCTCCTAAGTACAATAAGCACAATGTGCCAGCCCTCCAGCTGATCTGAAGCAATTTAGAGA